CGTGGTGTGTGTGTGTTTGTGTATGCGTGTATATATATACACATTCACACAAATAAATGTATATAATTATATGTATAAGAGTCAAATATAACTCTTGTACTCGGTTATTATGCGTACTATAAGGGATATGCATCTGCATTTGTTAGTGTGTATAAACACTTGTGTTCACTAGTGATTTTAAGTGCTCTTGGCATTTTATTTATCACTTAGCATCATGATTCAAAGCAGTTTTAGCTGACCTTGTCTTCAGAACCATTTAACTAGAATCATGGAATATCATTAAAATTTGCTACTGTTTCAATTTTTAATATGTAAAAGTGCAGCTTTTGTCAATAATTTTGTGTAGTTACCAACAATAACAGTGCATTCATCTTGGAAATTTCATGGTAAATCTGTAATTATACAAATGTTTGTGATAAATCCCACCCTTTGAATACAGGGATGTTGTGAGGAAATTTATGTAGGCTTCCTGTTACAATCTTGTCACATTGATGTGGTGTGGCAGTTTGGATAATAAAGGAATATTAGTAAATTTCATGTGTTATTTTGCAATTTTTCTCTTTATTTATATTAGAAATTCTTTTTGTGTAGAAAGAAGTTCATATTACTTTTATACACTGTATATGGCTACAGCAATCTTTGCAAAAGATGCATACCAGATTCATATCAAAACCAGTGCTTCAAACTACTGTATTCCTTAGATAACATCCTCAAGCATAGCAATCAATTGTATCTGCACCTGGTTTTCTATATCTTTGCATTTGGTAAATATAAAAGTTCATTAGGTACCATACCAACAGAGAACATTTCACATTTTTTTTCATATTGTCTGCTTGCCTAGATGTTCGAATTCTAGAAAAAAATAATTAATTTTCATATTTAAGTGTCTCCCATGCCATTAAAAATGGATAGACACAGAGTTGTTGCCTTTAATACATTTTGAGTGTATGAGGTGTGAAGCATGAAACCATGCCCCAGAAATCCCATGTCACTGAAGAAAAAAACCTACATTCCTGTTACAAAAATGGGTGAAATTAAATCAAATTTAGAAAGAACTGAGATCTCTACTTCAATGCTAGAAATGTTCCAAAAAGGGCTAGCACTGGAAGGAACTTTACTGTCACAGTCTAAGATATGCAAAAGATGCTGGAACTACACAAAGCTATTCCCCATACCCCCTTCCCTTTCCCACATCCATCATAGATGCATACAATGGGGTGCTTCAAATCTAAGTAGCTGTATAAAATGTGCTACTGCAAACTGTTCGTCTTACAAACCCAGTGAGATGTTATACGGAAATTGTCTTTGCCATTTACTGCATATATGGATTTGGAATCGTATAAACTAAATAGAAATATAGGTCTGATCACATACAAAATACATGATAAAACATGCAAAGGCATAGACTTAGAGTATGATATTTGTTCATATTAATTTACAGTTTTAATATGTGTTATTTGCCTTTTAGTTCCCTTTAGTTTTTGCATCATATTGTAATATAAAAGATATTGGCTATATAAAAGTAGAATGTGTGAATAATTAATGTAAATATGTAGGAATATGGTTTGGAAGGGAAGGTTGAGAATTTTATTACAAAAAGTCAGAAAAAAGGCAAGTTTTCCAACCTCTCACAATGTGGTTTATACTTTGAAGGGATGTTTTATGGATTTTCAGCTTCTTGTAATTGCACCCTTATAACCATAAACAAAAATAAAAAAGCAAACTGAAAATTTGTTTGCACAGTTTATAGTGATTTTATCCTGAGTTTAATATTTCTTTCAATTGAGTTTGGAAGAGTGATATACAGTCTTATGCATGCTGAGCCATCCAACACTACTGATTCTTGTCCAGCTTAGAACTGCTATCACAAATCTAACTGATGGGATACTTCTGTTGGTTATTTTTCTTCATAGCATCTGAAGCAAGCTGCTGTTTATCCTGTCATTGGTCCTCCCAACCATTTTGCTGCCTCTCTACTTGCTTCATAGATGTTAGGGTCTTGTTTTTTCCGGTGTGGTAAAAAAAAAATATATATATATTATATAATTTTCCAACATTGTTTTGGACCAATTTTAGAATCACATGTACAGACAGAAAAGGTACACAGCATAACAATAATTAGGTTACTAAAGTTGTATAAATAGTTTATATTACCAAATACTGAAATTATATTGAAAAGAATGTAGTTCAATAATTTAAGACCCACAACTTTTCTGCGAGTACACCCATGCAAAATAACCTCTTTGTTCTCAGCCAATATGGATAATAAAAGAGAAAATAATCAGTGCTGTTTTAATCTCCTTCATATTCACTTGCAAGTAATGCACAACTGTCAAAGATGTTAATTAGTAATCATCTACAAAAAATTAATAGATTGTTACAATTTAACATAAGTTGCTTGAACACAGAAGTTAACTCCTTTGACAAGTAACACTGCCTACAGAAAACAAATATTCAAAGTATAATACAATTATATTTTTCTGCTTCTGGACTTCATATCCCAAGCCAAAAAATGCCTCACTAATCTGAAGGGCTTACAATCTGTTATTTATTTTTCTTTTATTATTCTTAATTGCATTAAGATAGTATGAAACTACACTGTGAAAAATCTGAGACATCACAGCCATTTTTGATTAAAAAGAAAGCTAACAATGAACAGGGTGTAAATAACCTTTTATATACAATGACCTTGCTCAGGTAAATAAAGATATCAAGTAATATAATAAACTTTATCTGAACTATACATTCTTCAAGGACAGCTTCTCTATTTAGAAGCTGCTTTAGAAAATCTTGCAGAAATATCTTTCCAATTGGCTACTTTCCAGATAGCATTCACGTAATCAGGTCGCACATTCTTGTACTGCAAGTAGTAGGCATGCTCCCACACATCGATTCCAAAGAGGGGGACGAGGCCTGTTGTTGCTTCAAGTGGATCCTAAAAGAGAGGGTTGTCACTGGTGAGCATGGATGGAGAAACTCAACAGTACAGAAAAAATAAATTAAAATGATGCAACATTAAAAAATGAAAGTAAAGAACAAACACACACACTCAACTCACTCTCTCTGAGTGAATGAGAGAGTGAAAGAGGGAGGGAGGGAAGGAGAGAGAGAGAGAAGGAGAGAGAG